AGAAGGCATATCTGGAAAGTCATATAAAACATGATCATACGGAGTTCTCATAACGTAGCAACTCAGAATCTATTTTTCAGCAAAAGTTACATTTTTAATGATACATATGCATTCTCCTTTCTGGCATGTTAAATTCACATTTAAATACTTGTATTTAAGGTTAACTTTAGAATTAACCTAACCAGTATGATCTGCATCAACACCTCACAAAATAGAGAATGCCTGAAATGAGAACTCAGCAAAACCCACATTTCAAAATAAACCTAGGAAGGCTATAGCTGGAGAATATTTGGGGCCTTAACTCTATACTATTGTTAATTCAGACATAAAATGAAGAATTTGGCACAAAGAAACCTGTAGAACCATATACAACTCACATAGTTTGTTTTAAATAAAATAAAATAAATAAGTGAAAAATATACAAGTAACTTATTTAGAATGTCTTAGAAGTTAAAATGACTAATTACACAAAAAACAATGTTTATCTCCTTTCTGGATGATCCAAATGGCAAAGCTTTTAAGTACTCTACTTATAAGAAATCCATCATCAAAAATTTATTGAAGCATTTGAATATTACACATAAGAATAGGTTACTTGATAGAAATACTGATTTCTGGAAATGGTAAAAAAATTGAAAGCTACTACCCTGTTTCCCCAAAAATAAGGTAGGGTCTTATATTAATTTTTGCTCCAAAAATACATTAGGGCTTATTTTCAGGGGATTTTTTTTTCATGTTCAACAATCTACATTTATTCAAATACAGTCATGTCATCTTCTGGTTGCAGCACAATGGTGGAGGGTGGGGTTTCATGTAACTAGGGCTTATTTTTGAGTAGGGCTTACATTACGAGCATCCTGAAAAATCCTACTAGGGTTTATTTTCAGGTTAGGGCTTATTTTCGGGGAAACAGAATAGATTGAACCCAACTGATGTCCAGCACTTGTATACTAATAGTGGTATTATCATGAACATCCTATATTCGATATATACATATAAGAATGATCAATCACAGCAGACAATTTAACATAATACTGATGGGAAGGCCTAGAAAAAAGCCAAAAACTTTCCACACAGTCTGAAGAATGCATTTTCATTTTTTCCCAAAGGGAAAATCAGAAATTGGAGAACAGAGGAAGAAACAATAAATAAATAAATAAATAAATAAATAAATAAATAAATAAATAAATAAATAAATAAATAAATAAATATCCCCTTTGGAATGAGTGAAATGCTTTTTTAGACAAGATTTTACTCACTCAAAATGCTAGGAACTGCAAACCACCATATTTTGTATGCAAGAAAGTTTATAGAGTTAGAGCATGGTAACAGTTGTGTATATTATAGACATATACAAAATTCAAATTCCAAGAAGTATTTCTGCATCTAGCGGACATTGCCATCTTCATAAGAGGAACATATAGATTCAGTCTTCACAGCTTGCCTTTTTCTTTTAGTTTTGCAGAGTCAGTCATAGAAGGAGGACTTCTCTGTCCAAAAAACACATTTTCTTTTGTTTATTTCAAAAATTGTGGTTTCTATTTCCATTTTTCCCTTCTTCTCAGATGACAAAACCTAAGATGTATGTCCACAGGTAGCACATGGTACAGAAAACTTCACCTGCCTGGGACATACACTAAAAGATTTATATCCAAAGTTTTTGTAGTGCACATCAAAGGATTTATATGTTTAAATTTCACAAACAGGCCAAAGAGTACAATTTTAAACACTAAGGTATAAAGATAGTGTTTTCCCGAAAATAAGATGTGGTAAACTTCTGCCCAAGGTTGTTAGCTGCATTCTGTTTCAGTGACGTGCAAACCCTCCTGGCAGGAGCAGCGGCTCCCACCAGGTCGGGGTGACTCCTCATTCTGCCCTTTTGCTTAGACTGAGTTAGAGCACTAGATCAAAGGGTTTATCTGGCCAATCCTAGTGGCAATTAAGTAACTAGTATCCTATCTGAATTCTCACAACATACTGTACTATGTAATCACACTAAGTTAATAAAAAGATTTCTCAGGGCGTTGCCTTGCTTTGGACATTGTTGTTGACTCTTCTCACTTTCTCTAAAGGCTAATTGCCTTCCCTTCGTTCCATGATCACCCACATCTGGAGCTGGAACAGGGAGATGAGACAGGGAGATTTTGATTTTGATTTTCTTCAAGATTTGCTTTTTTTTTCCATGGAAAGGGGTGATTTTTTTTCCTGTGGCTGCCTTATATAACTGTCTTTTGTTTTAGATGAGTTTGTAAACCTTATGCTTGAAGTTTCTTAGAAGTGAAGGAAAATTAATTTTATTTAACAGGAAACTTCATATGCAAAACTTAAGACCTACTAATGTACTATGCCAACTCACATGCTCCAGGAAAAAAAAAACACCTCAGCATGGCCAAATTAATATAAGAGGAGATGCAAGAATACCAGGGGAATATGCACAATAATTTTCCTACAACAGTCCCTTGGGAAAATTGATTGTGCTGTAATCATTCTGGAAAAATGCTTATATCTCTAAACAGTAATAAAAAACTGTCAAACCCCCAATTTGTTTTTTTCTAAAAGGAAAAAAAATCTGATGTTTTGTATTTTCATTTACATTGTGCTCAGTTCTAATCACATGTCTTCGATAATTTTAAAGAAACATGAGCCATTTATTCCATATACTGCTATAGAATAATACACCCAACACAGTGACAAGAATGAAACTTTAATCAGTTTTAAGTGGAGTTTTAACACTAAGATAAAGGGCTGTTAAACACAATAACAAACGGACATCTGATTTGAATGAGACATTATCCTGTACATGTCATTTTCTTGTTTTGTGTATCCTCAGTGCATAGCATTACACACAGAGCCACTGTTGCACAGCACAATAGTATCTGAAGAGGCTGAATCAGAATAAGGCTGCTTAACAGACAGATTTTTTTTAGTATATATATATATTCTATATGAAAACAGACTGAGAATTTTGAACTGGCGGAGTAAAGAGGCAGCTCTACCAAACACTGCAGTTAAAGCCTCCTTTTAGTGCACAGTTCCACCCCCTTCCATCTGCATGCACGACACATTTTTAACAGTATTTTAAAAAGGTAAACGAGGCACTTTGTGGCAACCACAGGCATCGTTAACATATTGCACGTTTGCTAGAATTTAAACATGGAACTGCACACACTGGAACCCTAAACTTTTATTCTTTCTTCCCTTAAAGCTGAAAACAATCGATGCTGCATGTAAACATCCCTTCAGTTTACAACTTGTGCCACAGCATAGAACCTTGATGTTATTTTATACAACTGCCCTTTAACTACTGTGATGGGCTATTTTAACTGGGACTACAGATGACTAGGGATGGCACAGGGCCTAAGAGTAAGCTCCTGTCAAAGTGATGCCTTCAAGTAATTTTAGACATGTAAGCTGCTGCACATCCAAGAACTTAAGCACACAGTCCAGAAACTCAAAAAATTACCTAAGAAGAATGCATTTTCAAGCTAATGATGAATACTGTCATAAATAAAGTTTTAATTAGGACTTAAACCTTTCAGTCATAGTAATTCTTGCCGTGTTCTATGGGGATGGTAGCAGAAATAAAGTATAGGAGAGTAATGCATAATATATATTATATATATAATATATATATATAATGCCGTTTTCCTTTTCCAATGACTATACCATAAAAACGTAAGCTAGGCTTCTCAGAACCACTGGCACATTCAAAATCCAAACCCTCATTCAGACCTTCACATTCCAAAGGAAGAACAACAGTGCAAAAGGCCACTCAACTATTTCCAATCTGGTCCTCACATGTTTAACAGTAGAACTGTACAAGACACTGAACACTGTCAACATCCAAATATTTTAAAGCACAAACTTTTAAAAATGGCTAATGTGGTTTTGAAAATGTCAAACAGAAACCTGGTTCAATGTTAAATCACAGGGGAACAGCCAAAGGCAATTTAATAGTCACCTCTTGTGAATCATGTATGGAAATCATAGAACTGGATCAAATGCGGAAAGTTTGAACATTAGCTTTGACAAAAAGTTTACATAATGGTTGAAAGCTATGTTCCTGTGCAGCTACATGCAAGTCCCACTAAAAACAATATGAAGTTATAGGCACGCAACTACACACGGGATTAGAAAAGGGAGAAAAACTCACTGATGTATGTTGATGGAGCATGCTGCCCCCTAGTTCAGTATTCAGCCTGAGGTCTGCCTTGACTAGTTACTATTTATACCCTTGTTATTAATGCAAGTAGACTGGGCACAATGGATTCCAAATTCATTTACTCAAGTGGGATAACCAATAATGAACAATTCAACGCCAATAAACAAATGGGGTTTTACACCATGAAAATTAAAAATAGCAATTCCAAGTGTTTGAAAGACAAGGTTTTTTTCTTTTCTTTTCTTTTTTAGAAAAAATATTATTCTGACATTTATAATCCACATCTTGGGGAATGGCAATCATAACACACAAACAACTGTGTAAGCCCATTTCTGAAAGATAGCCTCCACATTTGTATGGTTAAGTCATCGTTAATGAATTTCACATGTAACCACTTTTTTAATATCCCTTCATTTGTAGATCTTCAGTGATGTTGTGGAAGGTTCATTCCTGTACCCCTAATACGGAACCACTCCCTCTAGCTGCCTTTTCTAGCACCATTATGCTTTTAAAAAATAAAATGCACAAACAAGCAGTGACAGTGGCAATTCCTCAAATGTCCAGGATTTATTACTGTAGCATGCTAAAGAGGTGCATGTAAGTAAGATGGAAATGGAACACAGTCCTGGGTCCAACACAAGACATTCCTTTCTGAGCTTCTCTTCCCACTCTCCTATTCATAGTACATGTACTTGAATGCAGTAAAACCCATTAATTCTCTGAACCAACCATAGACTTATCTGCCACAAAAGTGCAAAGAAAGGGGCAGGATGTGAACCTGTGTATTAGAAAGAGCTTTACAGGAACTTCTGTTGGTGACAGAACACAAAAGGAAGATTCCTACGTATACACATTAGATCTGTCTCCACTTTTAGAAAACCGGAATCAAATGGGAAAGTGCCATCTTTGTGTTTTCCTAATTGAAATCTGAATGTCCTCTTGACACAAAAAGGTATATACATAACATAGCTACGTAACCTTTTTCAACGGGACAAGTGTCAAGCCTAATGGCTTCAAAGAGCAAAATGAGATTGGTCAGGAAAAGAACTGTTCCTACAACTGATAACTGTGACACAGTGTCCTACTGCCATTCCAAAAGGTCCATAATTCAGTTTATTCAAGTTTTACTCTTTGTGGTGTATTTTCCCAAATAAAAAAAATATTCAGACTTTTGTAATCTGTGTATGTTGATCTTCATCAAAAGGTTCATTCTCTGGATCAGAGTCAGTGGTGTCAGAATACCTATAATGATCAGGTTCATTATCACTAACATCCGGTGTTACTGAAGTCGAGCTGCTAGCCTCTGGGTTTGATGGCTCTTCTACTGTTTTTGTGAAAAATAGCTTCACCTTTAAAAAAAAGAAAAAAGAGACACAATAGGAATCATTACTTATCTCTTCAGAGAACAAAAGACAGGCTTTCACAGCTGGTATGTCCAGAGGAAATCTGATACTACTTTTGGTCTTCATATGGCCCTCATTTAGTCCATTCATTTAACATATTCACAGAATTCATCTTCTAGTTTACAAAATGAGAAAAACATAATAAATCACCATAAAAATCTATAGGAGATACATGAAATAGACACCTCATCTTCAACTTCAGAAGCCAGTTCCAAACATCTGGACAAACAATTGACCTAGTGCCAAAAAGAATTTAATGTCTGCACCAGTCACATTGCCAGTGCCACAAAAGACTACCTTTCATGTTCTCACAGTGTATCATAGGCTCCTAAAAAAGATTCCCTTGAAAATCTTAAGGCACGTATGAGGAGAAATACTTCCTCAGGGTTTTGCACTTAGTACAAACATAAAATACTAGAATGTAAGAATTAAGAAGTACACAGAAAGCCACGCAAGAAGCATATTCCTTATATAATTAAATGAAGGCCTTCACATTTGCATCAGTATGTCTAAAGGCTTTATGGTCTGAAGCTTCTCATTTCTTCTAGAAACAAATAAAATACTACATGCATGCTCATACAAATTCCATATACCTAGATTCCTCACATTTTATCTGAAGTTCTGGCCTTTTCCACTTCTTCCAATTGATATATTTAGAATCTGAATCCTATCTACTCTAATTCATCTGTGTTTGTGAACTAGAACAGTAAGTACAGTGGTGCCTCGGGTTACGAGATTAATTCGTTCCAGCGAAATTGCTGTAGAACGAAAACGTTGTAATGCGAAAAAAGCCCATTGAAACGCATTAAAACCTGTTTAATGTGTTCTAAAGGGCTGGAAACTCACCGTCCAGTGAAGATCCTCCATAGGGCGGCCATTTTCGGTGCCTGTGCAGTGAGGAATCCATCCCAGAAAACAGCGCAGAGCCATTTTGTTTACCCGGCGGCCATTTTGAAACCGTCGATCAGCTGTTTTAAAATCGTTGTTTTGCGAAGAATCGGTTCCCGAAGCAGGGAACCAATCATCGCAAAGCGAAAAAAATCCATTCAGACCATCATTTTGCAATCACAATTGCGATCGCAAAAAGATCGTCGTAATGCGGTTTCGATGTAAACCGAGGCAATCGTAAAGCGAGGCATGACTGTAAGTTGGTAAATTCTAAGACCTCTTTTCTTTCTTACAACAGTTCATATTTCATTTAAAAGAATTCTACTTAGGTTGCATTCTGACAAAATCAGTGGCAACCTTCTAATTTTAATGTTCCTGCTGCATCTGTATATATATATTGGTAATATTAAAAAAGAACACAAATCGGTGTTCTGGTAGGTATCACATATAAAATGAACCAAAAAGAAAAGAGTTTGAAATCTGAACATCTTCCCATTATTTGTTCTTATTTGCTTTTCTAACATTTACTCTGGAGTTACAGTAAAGCGAGCTCCAATCTATTAGGCACTGTATGTATACTTTGTCATCACACACACATCATTTGATGCCTCTGTCTACACTTACCTTGAAGTTTGGAGAAAAGTAACGATTTGCCTTGTCTTTATTTGCTTTGTCCAAATCATTTTTTGTTAGTGTAAGTATTAGATATTCCTTGTCATTATCTGAACGCTCTGTACTGAGAATTCCATCAAGTTCCTGATCTCCAAGAAGACTGCCATTCTCTATTTTCTCAGAATTTTCTTCCAGTCCTGGTATGAAGAATGTATTTACCCAGAAATGAAACATTTTGTCCTGAAGACAAAACAGAATTTGCTTTAACATACAAAGGACAGTTCATATACAGTACAGTACATTGTTAAGTAATAACTGAAAAATTAGCTCAACAATCATGTAAACAGAAATGGGAACTGATGTGAGACGTTTTGCAGTGGAAAAAGGTTCGATTGCTTTTTCCTATGTTTTCTTCTGCTCCTACCAAGTAAGTGAAACTACACTGCCATGTTTGCTCCATGTTTCTGGTGAAAGTATATTGGTGACTAATATAATTATGAAAGTATGTTTGTAACCATTTCATTTTTGAACGGTTTCTACTCTCTTTTATACTTTAAGATCAAATGGAGAAGGTCAAGCAGACCTGTAGTCAATAAAGGAGTACATAAACTCTATGCACAGCCCTCTTCTCAGATATGTGGAAGTATTTTATGCCTGAAACAATAGTTGTGCAAACAAAAGTTCATCCTAAACACAGTCATGGCAGACCATGTGCTTGTTTTGTGTATTACAACTTCCAGGAGCCTCATCTGAATGTACATCTACATATACACCACCTTTATACCCCAAATCCTGATCTGTCTGAACAGCATGAACTAGGAACAAACTGTACCCTTAACTGACCATTGTACGAACGCAAAAAAGTCACTGCTTTTCTTATTGCTGGAAACACTTCCAGCACAAAAATGAGACAAGTGTGTCTTCCCTTCTTTTTCAGGCAGAGAAGTTCCGCATTTTGAATAAAACCTCTCTGTGCAAACAGGTGTCTTTCCCTTTTGTGAAGCTAAGCTTACACAAACAAGTAAGCAAAAAAGGACTAGCTATCAAATCAAAAAGATCCAAGCGAACAATCCAATGCTCCTAAAAAGTTCTTACAGCAAGGCGGCAGCTACTAGTCTTCCACAGTTGTGCAATTTGCACAAAACTATTCCCACATATGTATGAATTTGCCCAAAGACCCCCTCCCCAAAACAAATGCCAGTGTTTCGAGGATGAGAAGAACTCTGGTGTTCCTACTTTCTAGGACTAAGGCTTTACTATGTGAGCTGTAATTACAAGTCAATTTGTGGTCTGTGATTCTTCTAAAGCAGGGGATTCCAAAGTACGGCCCGTGGGCCACATCTGGCCTGCCTGGCCTTTTTATCCAGCCTGTTCGTGTGCACATGGGCGGGTGGGCTGGAGCGCACGTGCATGTTCCTTCAGCCCTTGAAAATATCAAAAATATATTATGTGGCTCTCTGTGTGAAAGGTTTGGAGACCTGTCCTAGTGTCATTGTGATAATTTATTTATTTCACATCTGGCCTGCCTGGCCTTTTTATCCAGCCTGTTCGTGTGCACATGGGCGGGTGGGCTGGAGCGCACGTGCATGTTCCTTCAGCCCTTGAAAATATCAAAAATATATTATGTGGCTCTCTGTGTGAAAGGTTTGGAGACCTGTCCTAGTGTCATTGTGATAATTTATTTATTT